CATGTTCGCCGGACAAGATGGATCTGGTTCTTCCGGGTAGGAAAACAAAGATGGCCGCCTTTATACACGACGGATACGATCTTCAGCGGCTCCTGATTGGTTAATCTTCTATTGGTAGACTATAAAGGGAAATAAGTCAGTCTGACTCGCTCACTAGTTACATATACAGTATATACACAAAAAACTGTAATAGTGTGTCCTGCAAAGTGCCGTAAAAATGTTACAGGTTCTATCGACGTAACTGGATGTGGGTGAAAATACGAGTTTCTTGCAGTTTCCTTCCCGTAAAAGGTACATAGTGATTTTCCAAGGCCGAAAATATGGGGTATCCAGTGAGGATCGAACTCACTACTCAGTCGCAATAGTTCTGACAACCTTGCTAACCATTACACCACCTAGAGGTACCTGGTAAAAGGTACATATTGGTCTACTCTATCATGCCGAGTTTTATATTCAGTGGGTGCTAACGTTGTGCAACCTGATACAAGATGGTCAATTGTTTCTTGGTATTTTTAACAGAATCTGCATTTCGGGTTAACATTATTATTATTATTATTATTATTATCAGTGCTCTAAATGGAAAAAACCACTGGCGATCCATCCGACCCTACCAGCTAAGCCACTATGCTGAAATATGCCTCAGCACACTCACATAATTAACCAGGCGGAAATTACATTAGATCGAGAAAAATAAATGGATAGCAATGCTGGTAATTATCAAATACTCGACTGAGAAGCCCACGGAGGATCTGCCTGTTATAAGAAGCAGTCAAAGACAATTGACTTTGCGAAGCACTGGGGGCGTTCACATTGTGATTTCTTGCTTCATGTCCAGTTGCACTTCTAGCCTGATTTTTATATACAGTGAGGCAGTCGACTATTTTGTCTAACTGTTACCGGCGCGAAAAGTAGATGAGGCGCCCGCGATCAAATTCTGGGCCTGGTCTGATGCGTTCAGCTTTGACCAAATGTCTTTCAAAGCGGCTTGAAGCCGTCCCTTCTCCATTCGAGCTATGGCTTAAGAAACACGGTAAACTGGATCCTCTAGTCTTGGGTACCAGATACTGTTACAGAATGAAAACTCTGACTTCCAAACCGTAAAGAAGGTAACTGAAAACAATTTCGCTATCCTTTACACGAATGCCGGGCCATTCGTAGATAATGGAGAAAAGGTATCTGTAGAGATCTATGATAGCCTAAGTCCTGAAGGAACATGTCGTTGAATAAAACTTTCTGCTATAACTAAAGTGTTTTTGTAATGTTTTATAATAGTTAATTATGTTTTACAACGTTTTATAATATATTGATAGTTTTATAATGTTTAATTATGTTTTATAATGTATTATAGTTTATAATATTTTATAATGTACTGATAGTTTATAATGTTTTATAATGTTTAATTATGTTTTATAAGGTTTTATAATCTGCTGGTAGTTTATAATGTTTTATAATGTTTTATAATATTTTATAATTTACTGATAGTTTTATAATTTTTTATAATGTCTAATTATGTTTTATAATATTTTGTAATGTTTTATAATTTACTGATAGTTTTATAATATTTTATAATGTACTGATAGTTTTATAATGTTTTATAATGTTTAATTGTGTTTTATAATGTTTTATAATTTACTGGTAGTTTTATAATGTTTAATTATGTTTTATAATATTTTATAATGTTTTATAATTTACTGATAGTTTTATATTTTAAATGTTTTATAATATACTGATAGTTTAATAATATTGTATAATGTTTAATTATATTTTATAATGTTTTATAACGTACTGATAGTTTTATAATGTTTTATAATCTTTTATGATGTTTAATTATGTTTTATAATGTTTTATAACGTACTTATAGTTTGCTTTAAGCATTACATGCTCAAATACACTGAGAACCTTTTTTCTTTAATATGATAATGTTAATGTTAATATTAGCTGTTTCCTTATAAAGAAACATTCGGCATTTATTGACCAAGCAGCAATTACTACTGTCAGTTGAAATTTATGAATTCTTTCAAATTTCAGGATGTAGGCGATCATGGCTCTCCACCTCCCTCTATCCCTTGAAGCTCTCAACAAGTTCCTTCCCTCTGCCACCTCCCCCAAGACCACGTTCTGTCATCCACTTGCTTAAGGCCGATAGGTATGTCAAGCGTTGTTTCTCCTTGTCTCTCTTTCCCTCTATTCGACCCGTGAGTATCAGATTCTCTAGGCCCTCCTTCCTCATTATGTGTCCCAGAAACTTCAGCTGCTTTTGCCTGGTGTTAAGTATAGGCCTTCTCTTTGTTTGCATCCTCTCTAAGACTTCATCGTTGCTCACATGCTCTGTCTTTAGCATCCTTCTGTAGAAGGACATCTCGAGTGTCTTCTTCATCTTTGAGGAAATCGTCCAACATTCGCTGCCGTAAAGATTTTAAGTATTCCCGACCTGCAAATCGCATTTCTGGCTCATCCTTTACTGTGTCTATAACAGTAACTCTAGATACACCGTAAGAATTATCATTGTCTTTCGATTACTGAGAATACTTCGTCTTGCAGTACATCAGTGTATCCGGAAGTGACTCCGCAAACCAATCTGGAGATAGCTGAGGGGACTTTCGTGCTAGATCGGGGATGTAATGAAGATGAATTTTAAAAACAGGGAAAAGTTTATTTATCATTCCACCGGAGTTTATCGCGCTCTCTCGGCCTGGGTAGGCTTTAACCAATGCCACAAGATTACCGTTACAACCGGAGACCTCCAGGCTGCAGTAGATGACCGGGACTTTTAAGTGTCACGTCCAGGGCTCTGATTCATTACGCGACACTTGCTGCCACCGCCTTCATGGCCTTTGGATCTTTAGATCTCATCCTATCTGATCTGTAGATCTCATCCTATCTGATTTGTAGATATCCTATCTGATCTGTAGATCGATCTCATACCGTCACCTCCACTGGGAATCAGGGTTTATAGATAGACCCGAAATTGTCGGGGATTTGGCGCCGGAAACAGCTAGTTGGAGCCAGAGGTGAGAACTGGACACTGAGCGGAAACCAACGCAAACGAACTATTCCCAAAGGAGTATAACTGTTCCTCCGTGGGAGTGGCTATCTCTCCCCGATATACCAAATATACTGTACTAATAAATATAAAGCAAAGTTATTTTATAATTGATGTTTAGTCTTTTTTTTTCTTTCCTTTATTAACTTCTGTGGAGTTATTCTCGTTTCCTTTCTGTTTCTGCTATCAACACTGTGTTACCGGCATATCTAATGTTAAGATTGTGGCCGCCAATAAAGAACACGTTGGTTCCTCAAATCTTGTTGTTCCGGGGTTCAGACACTATATCTTAATTAATTTTGGTACAAGAGACTTTATGTTTTAACATTGTTTCATATATGAAGCAAAGATATTTGTTATGGGACCTCACCCATAATAACATAATGGACTATTCCATGCATAATAAATACTGCGCCTCAAGAGGAAACAGGGAGATTCAGCCTGAAGTCGGACGACCGGCTGACCGGCTGAACTCTCTGCCTTCGGGCGGGAAGGAACCCGAACGAGGCTACGCCGAAGGGCGGAGTCTCTTTCGGGGAGGTAAACCGACCCTCAACCTGTTTATACGGGTTCAAAGGGCATATTTTTGGCCGAGCCCACGGACTCGGAGATCCCACGTTAAACCGGCTTTGTGCCACATGATGCCCTCGTTGGGGGTGACTAAATACCGTTCAGTCTGAAGTCTGGAGTGAGGTCCGTCAGGAGTCTGTCAGTCAGTCAGAGCGAGCGAGTCAGTAGTCGAGTCAGAGGCAGTCCGAAACAGAGTCGCGTTTAGACAATTACTACAAGACATTGGAATAGTGATACTGGTCGAGACTCCATTGTTCTCTCTACTAAACCTGATTGTTCGTACTAACACTTTCTACTTCTCTGTATATATTCCTGTTTTTAATATATCTGTGTTATTCCATATCCGTGTTATTCCATATCCGTGTTCGAGTTCTTCTTTATTGGTTCTACCTTGGACTACCACCGTGGTACAAGGAACCGGACCATAACAATATAAGTAGTATTACCTACGACCCACCGGTGTGTCATTTGGTACATGAGTTTATTTTACAACCCAGAGTCCCACACGACCCACACGAATGCATGGTACAGCTCTGTGTATGTAAAAATGAAAAAAAATGACCCCTAAAAATCAATAGCAGTAATTCCAAAAAGAAAACGTAATAAGAGAAAAAATCAAAAATATTTAATTTTTTAGGGAAGAAGATGTGGTTTTGGTGTGCCATGATTTCATAAGTAATCAATCATAGCAACATCACTCCCAATAATCCTCATAGAAAAGAAATTGGAAAACGACACACCAGAAGGTCGGGTGGGCTTTACAGACATACCCACCCGCAACCCTCCGATGGGTTGTATAGGATGTGTCAAAAACGGTATTTTTGAAAATACTTAATTTTTAAAAACAATTTTATGCAGCAAACGTACCAAGCTTTATAAATAGTACTCAATACCAAACATCAGTAGATGCAATGAAGACCTGATATTGCCGCCAATGGTAATAGTATATTCACAAACATTAAAAGCAAAGTCATATCGCATAATATAATAAGAATCGATATCTTATTTTTCTATCAATGTTTTTAATAATATCTGATAGCTATAATCTTATTACGGACACATCGTTTGACATATGTTATGCAAGATTAAAAGTGTGTGGATTCCTCATTTCTGTATTCGAAGCAAATTTAGCGAAATGATTATCTGGTCCATTGCAATTTGGACGGTCTTTTCCATTTGCTTTCATTTGGCCTTAAGGAATTTTGTCAGTTTTTCCAGTTCGCTAACAGGAGACATGCTTTTTTCATAATGCAATTTGACACATCTCCCTGGCAAATAGATAGATAGATAGATAGATAGATAGATAGATAGATAGATAGATAGATAGATAGATAGATAGATAGAAATAAAATGAACATGTCACTTCCATAACGCAATATGTCGTTTT